TGAGGTGTGGACATGTGGGGGGGGGACAGTGAGCGGGGATTTCTAGGGGAGGGGAAGGGATTCTGGGGCAGGCGGGGTCCAGGCAGGAAGGGTGCAGGGGTCGAAGATAGGATAGGACCGGGATATCCAGGGCGGAATGGTTTTATACAGACAGACAGACAGATAGACGGAGAGGGGCATGGAGGTACGGAGGACAGGACGGGTAGAAGAAGGGAACTAGTGAATGAAAACATAGAAACCTTAGGGGGCTGGCGGGTGGTGGCCAAGATGAAGTGTGTGTGCGACCAGGAGGCGGCGGAGAGCAGGGAAAGTGCCTGCGCTGCCGTGGAGGCAGTTGCGACGCGCGAGGGTCATCAGAGCATGAGAAGAGGCGCGGAGCCTCCAATGGAACGGATAGGGTATGTTCCCCCGGGCAGAGACACGTACAGACGGGTAAGGTAGGGACTGCCAGGCTAGTGGCCAGGCGTGAAGCTAATACCTCCCACTTCTCACACAACCACACAACATTAAATGATACGACGACATATTATATATCGTATTTTGTATACACACACAAAAACACGCTGTCGTTGTCTCCAAGTACCAATTTCCGGCGCTAGCGAGCGGGAAAGGGACCCGGCCAGCAACAGCTGTATCGGCAGCAGCTGCAGTACGACAAAAACCGACAAAACACACACCCGCGGCCCGCGCCAAGGGTACCGCCCTCGCTTTCGTGTTCGCGTTCGCCGCCGCCGCCGGCGCTGCCACCCGCCGCTGCCGCCGACAGCTTGCTGCTGCCGGGGGCGCCCGGGACCCGGAAGCGCACACGGGGCCCAGCAGCAACGTCAGGCGCTGTACTACACGGTGCTCAGGAGCCATACATACACCAGCAGCATCCTATCCGAGGAGGATCCGGGTCCGCTGCCGCTTTGCACCTTTCTCGTAAAGGGCAGCTCGTGTCCCCCGCTGCTGTAGGCCTCGTGGAGCGCGTAGGGATGGGAGATGCTGGCTTTGGTGACTTCAACCTTGGGCATGTGGGGCTCCGTGGTACCGCCCTCCAAGCGACCCCTGGGTCGGCGGGATTCGGATGCGAGATTTGAGGCACGGTACTACGGATTTTGATAAGGTGTACGACACAGATACGGTGCACGGCACAGATGTTCAGTAATGTAAATCAAACAGAGACAACCAGCATGGAGACTCGCTGGACGTTTGTCTTTTGCTCTACTACCGTACAGCTCGCTACTGCGAGTTAATGGAAGCGGTGCTTTCATATACAAGACATGGTGTGGCATGGCGACTTTATGTACATTGATATGACGCGGACGGTCCTCACATTTCTGGTGCGGCTACATGCGAGACGATGGACCTGGCGCCCCCACCCGCCCATCCACGGTTCCATCCATCCATGTACCTGTGTAAGAAGTGGCACACTGTCTCGTGCCGCCCGGAGTTGAAATCGCCGCAAACCACCACGGCCGCATCCTCGGGTGCAATGCCGTACTGGCGCTGATGCGCCTCCAGCCGTTGCAGCGCAGATCGCGTCTGACTAATGCGGTCGTTGGGTCGGTACGGTGAACCCTCGAGGTGCATGTTGGCCACGTACAGCAGCTGTACGGCAGCCGCGTTCGGTACCGTTTGTGTGTCAGCGCGAGGAGGACACGGATGCGGGCGTGTTGGTGGGCGGCGCGAGTGTTGCGGCAACCAGTCGAGGGATCCATGCGTGGAAAAAATGTCTTCAGGTCCCTGATGGTTTACTGAGGTGTTACTGAGCTGATGTGTGGGACAGGGGGCCATATCTTCACCCATGGCCGCTACCCAGCGAAACCCTGCCTTCCCCGGCATTTCGGGACACCCTCATCTAGTCACCCTAGTCAACTTCTCAGTGGATCGCTCAGGTTCCGCACCCACCACCAGCATCCGTGTATGTGTGTGTATGTGTGTGCGCATAGTAACGGGATGAGAATTAAAACACTGCCCTCCCCTGCCCTGCCCAGGGGACACACCATCCGAGGGACGAAGCTCTACGACCGACCGACCAGTGTGTCGCCAAACGCCGTTTCGGTATAGGCAGCGGCCCGTACCGGCGGCATGTCCCCCCCGGCAGACCATATCCCCTATTCCGCCCTATAGTTGGTGGCGGCCCGTACCCAGCCGCGCGCACCTGCTGCTGCCCTAGGCCGTCCCAGAATGTGAAAGCGGCCAGCAGGGCCCGGGTGCGGCTCTCGTGCCACACAAGGCCCAACTTGTCCGGGCGGTAGAGGATGGCATTACAGATTAGGCTCTCACCGCCTCGACGGTCCTGCTTGGGGCGAGTGATGGCATCAGACATGAGCAGTAGCAGCAGTAGTACAGTAGCTGCCGCAGCAGTAGCTGCCGCAGCAGTAAGAGCAGTAACAGTAGCAGCAGCAGCCCAGCAGTAGCCTTACCGACCGACAAACTCAGGAGTACTTATGGCAGCAGCAGCAGTAGCAGCGTAGCAGCAGCCTAGCAATACGTAGACGCACAATCGCCGCAACTGTGACGGTAATCTTTAGGGTTTAGCACAGAAGTGCAGGTTCAGGGATTTTACGAGTAGCAGCCAGAATTGCGCCAGAGCAGTTCTTGCTGCCCGCTTTGTCAAACGCCGTCATCCGTTTTTTCTGAACGTCCTTGATCACCCATTCCGTATGGCGCGTTGTAGTTCCATAACCCTCGTTTTCTTCCGTGACCCCTCTTCTTTCACCTTTTCCTCCTCCTTTTTGTTCCAGACCCCCCCCCCACACACACAAGACCCTGTGCGTACCTGTAAGAAGCCCGCATAGTCCGTCAGCGCAGGACTAGCTAGCATCTGGTTCCATCTGCATGATGGGTACGTATACAGGTAGAGGAGGTAGATTTGTCGGGTTGTATGGGTCCGAAAGAATTGCACGTAGGATTGGGCAATCCTCCTCCTCCTTGTTTGATAAGGAAGTGGCATCGTCTTTGAGGCAGGCAGGATGGTGGGATCAGGAACGGGCCAAGCGGGTTTGTGTCGTGGCGTGGTTAGGGAAGATTCGATACGCCCTTAACAGTGAGATACCTGGCACCGAAATGTCAACACAAGTGGTGACTCACAACCAAGAAGCCCATATCAAACGAAGTGCATTCGCATCAACACAGGGACGCCGACGACCATGTCTGCAGTCCGCTGCTCATACTTGGGTTGGGAGCGACCCGTGGGTCGCTGTCAGCGGATGGAACCCAGGAGTGCTGGCTGATTAGTTCGAAATGCAACGGTAGCAGCACCGAAGCTTCCCAGTTTAGATTCAGCAACTGTCAAAAGCAACCGTAGAACGTAGCGGGTATAGAGTTTGCGCGCGCTATGTCCAGCGACATGGGGCCGGGGGGTTACCGATTGGGATGGCCTCAAGACGTTTTCCAGGGCGGCATTTCACGTGTGAACGCCCGGTGTGAGGCATTGTAAGCTGCACTGTAAAGTCGTAGGAGTTTATACGTATGTTATGTATTAAAACCCAAACGCCAGACGGTCCTGGACTCGGCTACACCCGAGCACAAAACAACGGCACCTGTCC